TGGCACATTAGCTTGACCGCGCAGTGCCCCAAATTTGAAGTAAGAGGAACCGACCAAGCATCTTCTTCCATCTCCCTGTTACAGAAATCACTGCCATATCCATACAAATTGTACAGAATGTCCAGGATAGTTTTCCAGGGACAAATGTTGTCGCCTATTGAACGAGGTGACCTTGCTCGGGTCCCAGGTGTACGGTTCCTAAAATGGCTGCCATATACACGTCCACTGATAGGAGACGCGGAAGGTATTAAACTGATCAGAACAATACTAAACACACCACAAATAGGGTTTCTCTCCTGTATGGCTCCTCAAATGATGCTTAAGATTAGAAGCGGCTGAAAAGCATTTCTCACACTCAGAACAAAAATATATTTTTTTAACATTCTCTCCACTTTGAACGAAATGACGTTTGGGAAGAGATTAACATAATTAAACACAGGCAGTAAAAGTACAGTTTTTAGCCATACCCTGTAACTTTAAAAACTACACATCCCATCTTCATAGTACATATTTGGAATCAGCACGCTTAAAAACATAAACATAACCAAAATCAGCCAAATCCATCCAGGGGTTAAAGTTAGCTGGAGGGGTCCCTTTACTTGACGACTGCAAGCACATTCCTGCCAAAACAGTTCCATAGATTTGGGCTGTGGTCGGTCTATTTCAGGCTGAAAAAGCGATAGAATCCCCATCATGAATGGGACTTAGTCTCTACAGCTTCGAAATAAGGCTGAAAAAGCGACTGAAAAAGACTAAAGTCCCCATGTCGCCGAATGGGACTTGGTCTCTGTGAAATAATTTCCCCTTTACTGAACCAAGTGGGAAATAGCAAGGCAGGCACAAAGGGTTTGCACCAGGTCTGGGGACACAGGGGACACCGTCTTAAAGGGGCCGTGTCCTCAACAAGTTCTGGGACACGGCCTTAAAGGGGCAGTGTCCCAATCTTCCTGATGTCCCAAAAAAGGTGTTTAAAGGGCCAGCACCAGTCACATAAAGAGTCCATAAGCCCCAATATGCCCACCGACAGTCTTAAAGGGCCATACACACCAAATAAAAGTGCATACATTTTCACAATCTCCCAGGGGCCATAGTCATGCGGGAGGAGGCTGGCAAAGAGGCTTCTCCACAACCCAGGGAAACAGGGCAATTTGCCATTTAAGGGCCCGTTACAAATAGCAGTTTGTAACAAGGTGTCAATCCATATCTGCCAAGTGACCCGATGTAGGGGGAACAGTCCCTATTCTGCTCTGTGTCAGTGTGTATCAGGGATCCTTAGGACAGGTGTCAATCCATATCTGCCAAGTGACCCTATGTAGGGGGACCAGTCTCTATTCTGCTCTGTGTCCGTGTGCATCAGGGGCTCTGAGGACAGGTGTCAATCCATATGTCAAGGTGTCAATATGTCATATGTCAGGTGTCAATCCATATTGATTGTGATTTAGGAATGTTAGGTGATTTCTGCCCTTTATGGATTAAAACCAGACTCTGTATCAACTGTGTAATTTTCCATGGGAGTTTTGCCATGGATCCCCCTCCGGCATGCCACAGTCCAGGTGTTAGTCCCCTTGAAACAACTTTTCCATCCCTATTGTGGCCAGAAAGAGTCCCTGTGTGTTTTAAAATTCGCCTCCCCATTGAAGTCAATGGCGTTTCGGGCGGTTCGCCGGTTCGCGAACATTTGCGGAAGTTCGCGTTCGCCGTTCGCGAACCGAAAATTTCGGGTTCGCGACATCACTAATGGTCAGCATCTAAAGCATCTCTTGCACATTTTTCATAGACACACCATATATTAAGTGTATTTTATTCTTTTTACGGAATCATATATTTTTTAGTAACATTCGTTCCTATATTGGGAGTATATTTGTTTTGCGCTGTTTACACGTACACCTGAGAAGTTCCAACTCTCTTGGTTTTGACTTCATTGGTTAGGGAGAAGAAGCCTTTAGGTTCTCATGATTTAAGGCCTTTTGACTCTGTTTTAGATTATACCATGGCTTAACATGTTTTTTTTTCTTAACCTAAGGCTCTCATGAATGTACCCAGCCATAATTCCTATTATGTGAGATGTAGGTGTGACAAAACATTTGCCACAAACTCCTGGAGGAGTGTGGAAGCTTGAACCACTTTGCGAACCGCCAGGAAAGTGCTTTTTGAAGGGAAGGTGCCTGAGACTAAGGGGAACAAACGCTACCTGAGAGCCAGACGGAGGACCCGGTATTTTGGCTGCAGGAGCTCCCGAAAGTTGACCGGCAAAAGCACCAAATGCTCTGGAAGTATTTTGGGTTAGGACCACATGTGCGGCCGGTCAGAACTGTGACACGGTGGCGTTTCCCCTGTGTTGTATGGATCTGAGAGCTATTTGGACAACTTGGGTGCTCACGTCAGGGCTGCTTGGGGATGTATGATATTTGGAATTATTATATATTTTTATGATGTTTTGGGGTACTTTGATGTTTTTATGTTTTTGTGAGGCCAATTTAAAACATAAAAGTGTCAGTTTGCATATGCCCTTATACTCAAACCAGAGTTTGCTACTTTTGTCTCAGGCATGTTGATACTAATGCTATTGATGCACATATCCCACTTAGAAATATAAATATAAAAAATAGAGGATTTGCATGTTTATCAAACAATGAACAAATCATGTGAAAGGCAAACTTGCCAAATACATTCTCCTACTATTTGAAGACAAACCACAAGGGCAAATGGTTTAAATAACAACTAAATTATCAAATATAATGAAATTAGTAAATAATTATAAACCAACAATGTAATATTAAATGAATAACCTAAATAAAAATAATGATGAAATAAACACTTTTGCCTGTGTATTTAGCTGTCATGACAGATTTTCGGAGTGGAAATTGTATTCATTACTCGTTTTAGAATTGGCATCTGTCCACCTGCAAATTCGGTCAGACAGGCATTATTGTTCTTCATTCTATCACCGATACCAAATTTCAGCCGTATGGTTCTATCCACATAGGCTGAAATCCAGTCTACAGTCCAGTATCTGTAATTCAGTAGCTGTATTGAAAAATCTGGTCAATATTGAGAACAATGTCTGGATTTAAAATCTCAAAGTCTCAGTTAGTGACAGAGTATTGTTTTGGAACTTGGTAAGCGGCATTCGGTTCTTAGTGAATAGCCCTGTTGTATTCCAGAAGTTCTTGGGAATTAGGGAATTATATGCTGGAATGATCATTACAAAACACAGATATTTGTACTTATCACAACATACTTTTATTTAAAACCATTGGTAGGTAGGTATACCTACTCACTCATATGTTCTTCAAAGGCTTTTTCTAGTGTAGAAATCATCCTTCTGTAAATGAATTCTGTGCCAAACGTCTTTATCTCCAGACTTGGTAGTTGGAATCCACCATTTATTGAACTTCTCTTATCTTTATTAACTCACTAAACTCTAGAATAAGCATTGTGGCCAAGATTGTCATCCTTATCTCACACTCCTCTTCTAGCATCTCCTTACATAGCTTGTTTATGTTTTTGTAACATCCCTAACCTATGAAGTCCTCCACACCTGTATGGGAAACAATCTGTTATCTTGAAGTTCTCATTTGTTCTTACCTGCACGTCCAACCCTTTAACACAGGACTTCTCTGCCCATTCTTGTAGAACGTCTTTCCAAGTCCTGTCGAACATCATCCTAACATTCCATCTATCCTTTCAGTGGATCAGTACTCTACTAGGTCCCTGGGTACATTCTGGTAGAGCATTTCACCACAGTGGATCAATACTCAACAAGGATCCTGAGTACTTTCTGGCAAAGGATTTGACTTTAATCGATCAATACTCAGATGGGTCTCTGGGTACTGTCTGGTAGAGTCTTCTCCCACAGTTGATTAATATTCACCCAATTAATTATTATTTTTTACTTATTATTTTTTTTATTATATATTCATTTTTTTTTTTTTTATTCTTTATTTTTTATCGTGCATAGGTTAACAAATCTTCCTGCAATGTCACAGGGAGCAAATGCAGGAATGCACAGGAAACATAATGAAACATGGTAAATGTAGTATTAAACATTTAAAACTTTTGTTTGTTCCATTTTTATATTTAGATTAGGGTACGTTTGAGATAGTTGCACATGTGGTTAGTAAAGTCGCTTGGACACTGATGAATCATGCTTGACCTCTGATTACAATTATACAGGATGAATGGTCAGTGTGTGCTATTCATATGTGTGTGAATCTATGACTGCTGTTGTGTGTTACATGCTTGTGAGTCTCGAGTGCCCATAAGGAGAGGTAACCATGAGTATTGCCAGGCAGGCAGGCTTGTCACCTTTGAGTTGGTAAATGACAGGTTATTTGTGGACGTGTCTGATGCGTGTAGTAAGACACTATACCAGTATCAGATGCCTATGAAGAGAATGCTAATCAGATGAGAACAATCAGATGAGAACAATCAAACAGAATATGACTTTAGGGATTTATGTTGCTGGTAAGTCTCTGTTGAGGAGGCTGTAGTGTGATTTGGGTAGCGTCTATTGTAGTAGAAGCTTTGTGCTTGTACCTCTGCAATTTCCTTGAGAGTTCTCTGTCAGCCGATACCCAGCGCATAGAAGTGTGTCTGGTATGTTTGGAAGTCCTGCTGGGGCATAGCGAGGTGCAGCATAGTGGGTTCCAGTGGCTGTCTCGCCTGCCTGTCACTGTGGGAGCCTGGTTTGATGATGCAGGTATGTAGATTCTCTCCCTGGATGTTAGGTGGGCTTGGAGCTGTGAGGGAAACTTGGCTATTGTTAGTTGCATTGTGGGCCTCGGTTTCATGTCGGGTCTGGGAGGTGCTTGTAGGCTACTTCTGGCTGGCTTCATTGGTGCAATCTTGCCTGTTTGTGTTCAGGTCAAAGAAGTCTCCGTGTTCTGCGCCATCTTATAGATCTCTTTGGGCGGAAGCCCGTGCGGCTGTGGCAGATACGTGCGGGTTTTTCATCGGGTGAGTGTACTGGAGCTTTGGCATGTTGCTCTCTGTTTGCCAGGCGTGCCCAGAAGGCACTGAATATGGCCTCAAGCTTGGTTAGAGTATGGTGCCATTCTAAGTGATAGTCTTGCCTGCACGTGGCGTCCGCCATTGTATAGGCCCTCGTAGCTGGGGGCTGCTTTAAGGTTCCGCTGCATGGAGGGGTTGGACCGGGATCACCCCCGCCAGTCCCTTAGGCGGGGAGCGGGTAGGCAGTGACTCGGTACCTCTGGCGTAGGGGCGAGGAGAGCGGCCATTTCCCCCCCGCTCCGTCAACCGCAGGCCGCGGCCTGCCACCATGGGTTCTTGATTGCGAGAAGTACTCGAGTTTGGCATTGAGTGATTCACCAGGATGCCCCCATCATGGGTACCGTACCCTGGTCTTGTTTCAGGCATGAAATCAGCGGGTATTTCCCTATAAACAGTCTGTGTGGCAGGAGCCCTTCCACCATGCGACTGTTCAGCTTGCAGGTCAGGCCCCGCCCCCCTTATATATTCATTTTTCACCCAATAGAGTATCATGGACACTGTGCAGCATGATAGTTTAATTTAGCTGATAATATATTAATACATTTTACTAACCTCTGCTTTGCTTTGATCTGATCAAATTCCTCTGCCTTTATTTTTATTTTAATATAGCAAGAAGCTTGTGGCCCACTGTGTTATTGCCAGCAGTGGTTCCAACTCTGTATAACGAACTGCTGTATGTAAGCCAATCTTTCAAAAAAGATTAGATGTTCCATTCCTTAAAAAAAATGAAATGACTAAAAATGAATAGCATCTAAACAGTTAATGTTCCTTCCATAACACTCCCGCCCTTACACGTTTCATTTTTTTTTCCTTTCCACAAATTGCATTATATAATCTTTATTGATCATATTTTATTATAAATTTAGACTCGTTAAAGCTGTACAGTCCAAGATAGAAGTTTAGAAAGTGTCTCAGAGTTTGGGTTTCATCTTAAAATTGGACTGAAACTATTTAGCCTCTTTTACCCCAATCTCTAATTTATGTCATTACAGAGGATGTAGAACAGTAACCAAACCTAATATCTATTAATATCAGTGCCGGATCCAGAGCCTGATCTCGGGAGGGGCACTTGTAAATTATTTAAAGAAATAATCCAGGCACAATAACCACTACAGCTCAGTGTAGTGGTTATGGTGTCAATAGTGCCAGGATCCCATCCCAGAGTAAGTAGTCAAACCGTTTAAGAACAGTTTGACAACTTACCTGGGGTCTGCTGGGAAATAGGGCATAGAAGCAGTGGTATGTGTTAGGGGTGAAGTGTGTGTGAAAGGTGCAGTGTGTGTGTGTGCGAGTGCATGATGGCGGCAGTGTAGGTCAGGGTTGCAGTGTGTGTGTTAGGGGGCAGTGTATGTGTGGGGCAGTGTGTGTGTGAGGGTGGCAGTGTGTATGTGAGGGTGGCAGTGTGTATGAGGGTGGCAGTGTGTGTGAGAGTGGTGCAGTGTGTGTATGGGGACAGTGTTAGTGGGGCAGGGTGTGTATGGGTGTGCAGTGTGTATGGGGGGCAGTGTGTGTAGTGTGTGTATGAGGGGCAGTGTTTGTGGGGCAGTGTGTGTACTGTGTGTATGAGGGACAGTGTTTGTGTGGCAGTGTGTGTAGTGTGTGTATGGGGCAGTGTTTGTGGGGCGGTGTGTGTAGTGTGTGTATGGGGGGCAGGGTGTGTAGTGTTGTATGGGGGAAGTGTGTGTAGTGTGTGTATGGGACAGTGTGTGTAGTGTGTGTATGGGGGGCAGTGTTTGTGGGACGGTGTGTGTGTAGTGTGTGTATGAGGGCAGTGTTAGTGGAGCAGTGTGTGTATGGAGGCAGTGTTTGTGGGGCAGTGTATGTATGGGGGCAGTGTGTGTATGGGTGCAGTGTTTGTATGGGGGGGGGAGGAGGGTAAGGAGGCTTTTTAATATATATTTTTTATTTAATAAAATTAATGTACTTTATGTCCTCCCTCCCTTCTTACATTTACTGGGAGGAGGGGGGACATTTCTCCATCCCTGGTGGTCCGGTGGGGGATTCATTGGTGGTCCCAGTGAACTCTAGCCTGCGCTCCAGGGCTAGAGTTCACTCTCGCGAGATTTGGAGCGTTGCCGTGGTTACCGCGGCAACGCTCCATGCCCGTGAGAGGAGGACCCCGGGGAGCTGCAGGCTGAGCTCCCGGGTCCTCCCTCCCTCCCCCTCCCTCCCCTGCCGGCTGTCAGCAATGTGCCTGCAGACCGGGGAGGGAGATCTTTGATCTCCCCGGTCCGCAGGCACATTGCAGGGCTGGCACTTGGACAATTCCAGCCCTGCATTAGCCGGCAGGGGAGAATCTCGGGGGGGGCAATTGCCCCATTGCCCCCCCCCCCCAGATCCGCCACTGATTAATATATTACATCTAATAACAGGCAGGTTACCTGGTCCGTAACTTTAGTTGCAAATAGTCTCCTCACTCCCCACGTTAAGACAGGCAGTACACACAAACGGCCTCAATTTAATATTTTTGGATAAGCTTTTTAAAAGATCACAATTTATTAGAGAAAAACATTTCAAATAATTTATCTACAAAAATCACCATATACTTTAATAAAGACTTCTACAAATCATTTAAAAGTTTTTCTAACAGAGAGGCCTTGTAATATTTTTAGACACGTTAGTGGCGAAAATTACCTCGCCACTGGTTTTTGGAGGGGCCTGTTTGCCAGCTTCCTGCCCAAAGACTATGGGCCCTGCAAAAAGACATTTTAAAAAGTGACTTCCATGGGAAAATGTGCCTCTTCCCCTCCCCCTTTTTCCTGTCCTATTGTTCTCCAGCAGGTCGCTGTCCCAGGGACACTGCAAGAAATGTTTAAACTGGCTGCTTTGTCCCTCCTCAATCTCCTATCAGCCCTTGCTATTGTCTGACCCCACCCTTCCTTGTACTATAGTAATCTATGTAACCTATTGTATGTAAATTAGGCTGTTGGGGGTTTAAATGTGTGTATAAATTGTAAGTGTTTGCTTTGCATTAAAGAGTTCCTGTTTTACCCTCTTGTCTCATGTGTGGGGGAAAAGGCTGCATCTACCCTGGGGATGGCTATATCACTATACTCCCCAGGAAGTATAATCACTAAGCTCTTTTAAGAGCTGTTCGTGCTTGAGTCTCTGGAGGAAGAGAGGTTCACCCACTGGAAACTGGAGCCTTGTCGTAGGTCCAGGGTGGGTAGGAGACGGCGAGTTCCCAGCCAAGCTGTAACGCTGGACGTGGGGACTGCGGTGCCGATGGTGTCTGGTGGAGTGCTTGGAGTCCTCGGTAAGCACTAGGGGCATCCTTTGGCGGTGGTACCCAACCGGGGTACAGGACATTGCAAGAACAGTTTACATTAGATTCCTGCTTACACTCCAAAACTGTGTCGTCCACTTATTGGAAAAGATTTGCTCCTGTGCCAGCTTACAGGAGATTCAACGGGGAAAGTCCTTGCAAGGACTAGAGCTAATTCCCCATTCGGTTCCAGAGTTCCCAGGACTGAGTGTCGTCCAGTGCCTGGAGGTGTCAGAGCTAATTTTCCCTTTAGATCCAGGAAGGTGGTGGCGGTTCCAGGGCCCCAGTCAAGCTACGGCGACTGAGGGCAAGAAATGCTGTGTTTTGTCCCTTGTTGCTAGGAAGTGGTTCTTTGGCGGGGGTACCCAGTCGGGGTGCCAGGTGATCCATTACAACGTTTATCAAATAATTTCACATTTTTTTATTCACTTTTAAAATAAGTTTTATCATAATAACAAAATATCAATATAATATATAAAATAGCAGTATTTAAAAAAAAATGTAAGTCTTCAAATATTTTTGAAAATATTGAATACTTTAAAAAGCTCATCAAAAAACATTAAATGGAGGCCCGTGATGACATATGCAACAGTAGTCTTATTTTAATTTGTTTGAATCAGAAATTATTCCAACCTACCAATTTTCAAATGATAGATCTGCAGAAGTCAGTGTAAAAGTTTCTCTGAATATTTGTAAATAAGTAATTTAAAAAAATGTGTTTCTCGCAGATCGATATTATTTCTGAAGTAAAATTACATTGAGGCCAGTGATGTTGTATTCAACAATTACATGGTTTTTTTTTATCTCCTTTTCCCTATGTCAATCATTTAAATTAAATGATCTTTCCTAAAAAGCTATTTTATAGGAAAACCTCTTCATGTCTACCGCTAAGAGCAGAGAGCCTGCTGCTCTCGTAACAATCTTTGCTGAAACCTGGTTCCAATATCATCGTATACGTTTGAACAATCTAACAATTCTATTCTCTATGTGGAATAGTTAATTCTTTCAGCATTTAAAGGACAACTGTATCCTCAAATAATGTTTTTGTGTGTGTGTGTGTGTATATATATAAAATATAATAATCCTTGCATCAAGCATTGAAAGGAAATGGATTATTTGCTGAAATGATGTGTATAGTTTAAAAAACAGAAAAAAAGAGAGAAAAATTCAAGATCTGACAAGATTCTACAGCCATATACATCTACCTTGGGTCAGACAGTGTTTGAATGTGAGAGTTAGTCTCTATGGTATTCCTGGCACAGTGACATCATCGGAGCCAATAACTCTCACATTCAAACACAGTCTGACTCTATGTCAGGCATAAGCAACCTTCGGCACTCCAGATGTTTTGGACTACACCTCCCCTGATGCTTTGCAAGCATCATGGGTGTAAGAGCATTATTGGGGACATCTGGGTGGATGCAAATGCTGAAGGATCTTGTCAGATTTTGAGTTGTTCTCTCTCTTTTTTCTCACATATATTCGTCATAAAACAAATAATCCATTTCCTTTCAATGCTTGATGAAAGGGTTATTATATTCAATGTTTTACCTGTCAGTTGTTCTCTAAGTAAATGAAACAGATCTTCGTATGTAACTCTTTCTGTTCTACACAGTTATAATAATTATCTCTAGGTATTTTGCCAAGTGACACGTGACATTTTGTTTTTGGATTTATGACTCTAACATATAACAGGGGATGTACAGGGCAGAGTGCAGGGGATCTAGACGTTCTCTACCAGCGGTGTGTATATTAAGTGATTTTATGATTTTCTGTCATATGATGCACCGATCTGCAAGGCCTTCTTGGATGGACTGGTGCCAGTTCGTTACTGTTACAATAAGCTCTGTGAACAATTAATCATTCAGTATTGTGCTGCTCTAATCAATCAGGTGGATTGGGGCACAGAGCGCCGTCCAATTCCAGGGGAAATAGCTGCCACTACTTAGCGGCTTAAAAGCTTAAAGCAATATTTCAGTTTTATGAAGCAAGCACTTCCATTTGTAGTATTTTTAATGGGTGATACTGCGGGCGTTCCAGCCTGCCTGAGAACCGGTTTCTATTTTGTGGTAAAGCCTGATACAGTCAAGAAGCAGGCACTATTTCTGTCAACCTGTTCTGCAACCGGCAGGGATGTCATTATAGAGAAGAGACAGCGTGTTGTGCAAATTGATCCGCTGGTGATGTCAGAGCCCTTTCTGTCTGCCTTTAACGCTGGTTCAGCAGCTGAACAAATGGACTCTGCGATACGAAGCTCTAAAGCAAATGCCAAGCAAGATGTGAACGGCAGCATGATCCCAGTGTTTATGCCATTAACGGAGCACAGTTGGCATTAGGAATTTGCAATTTCTGTTGTCTAAGCTTTGTTAGAGAACATTTTTTATTTTTTTTTGAGTGAAATCAGAAACTTTAAGGACAGAATAAGGATCCGCTCATAACAGTCAATGTAAAAATGTCTCTACTTCTCTAATACACATATTCCAATTTAAAAAGTAGCAGGATAGCTTGTTATAAAACTACACGGACACTTTAGGTTCTGACAGAGCGTCTTCAACCTTCCAATTACCGCACTGTAGAAGAAATCTAAACCAGAGGGAAAAATACTCCTTCCTTGATATGACTTCATAGATAACAAAGATTACATTAGAATCCTACACAGACTTTAGAAATGTCCTGATACAATTCACAGTCCTCCTGTAAGTATCTAGCGGCCTGTGTTAAAATATGTACTTTAGCTGCATTATAGCATTTAAGTGACTGTGTTATAGAATATATGTGATTGTGTTACAGTGTCTGCGCGACTGTGTTACAGTGTCTGCGTGACTGTGTTACAGTGTCTGTGCGACTGTGCTACAGTGTCTGCGCAACTGTGTTACAGTGTCTGCGCGACTGTGTTACAGTGTCTGTGCGACTGTGTTACAGTATCAGTGTGACTGTGTTACAGTACCTACGTTTCTGTGTTACAGTACCTACGTTTCTGTGTTACAGTATCTACGTTTCTGTGGATTGGTGTTGATTTCTGGCTGTTTGAAATGTTACCGAAAAACACAGGATAACGTATAGAAATAGTTGGTTGAATAATGAGTAATAGGTCTGTATACTTTGCTATAAGTTACAGATTTTGTGTCTGCACTGGATTTCCTCCTTAAATAACACATTAGATTGTTCTATTAATGACTCTGTGACTTGGCCTCTTGATCTTCCCCACCAGCCGCCTTGATGTGAGTTTAATTACCCAGAAGAGCTCATGCTGAGGACTATGGTTTGACATATGACCTTAAACACTTCGCAGACAGACTAAGAAAGAATATCCTGTGCTCGGGTTCAGATGGAGGAAGCTCCCATCTAACCAAGATCAACATCCATACTGTATTACAGGAAATGAATCAATCCACACAGCAAGGGATTTGTGTGTAAGCAAAGAATTTCTCAGGATGGGACTCCCTTCACATCAGTGACTCTCTGTAGTTATCTTCAAGGAAAAGGAAAATGGAGCCCTGTGGGTTTCACAAAATATGCAGATTGTAAAAATAGATAAAAACGCAGAGACAGAGAGAGATTATTTTACAATCATACGTAATGATTTCTGGATTACGATGGCTTCTAAAATGAAAGAATACACAGCTCAGCTCTGCATAAAGGCTCCCAATTATTGGGATTTGGGATATTCAATCAGAAAATGCTAATTTAGAAAAAATCAAAACAGTTTATGGTCTTTGATATATTTATTGTTAAAGTGCATTGATGTAAAACATTTTTCTTTTTGCCATATACTTTAATATGTTTATTTCATTGATGGATGGATACCCCTTCCCATTTCCAAGTTACCCCTCCTTTCCTACCCCTAATACAATGTTTGTATTATTATCATTTGTTATACAAAAAACTTTAATAAAAATTATTTAAAAAGAAAATGCTAATTTAGTCACCAAGTTACTAATGGCATTCATTTATTTACTCATTTACTGGGTAACGCACTGTAAGTTCTGTCTAATACCATCCACATACAATGTTTAGAAAGGACAGACCATGTGTCGGTTACTAAATAATGAAAAAGACACAGTGACACGGTGACACTCCATCCAATGTCTCGGCACAGTCGTTGCATTGACTAGATCAGGACATTTAGTATATTCCAGCTGCCAATGATAACACTTTCACATATAGACAGATACACGACATGCGCTGGGTGTTATCTTATTAGCGTCCAGTACATCGTATGCCAGTGCCTGCTCCCATACTACGTTGTATGCCAGTGCCTGCTCCCATACTACGTTATATGCCAGTGCCTGCTCCCATACTACGTTATATGCCAGTGCCTGCTCCCATGCTATATGCCAGTGCCTGCTCCCATACTACGTTATATGCCAGTGCCTGCTCCCATACTACGTTGTATGCCAGTGCCTGCTCCCATACTACGTTATATGCCAGTGCCTGCTCCCATACTACGTTATATGCCAGTGCCTGCTCCCATGCTATATGCCAGTGCCTGCTCCCATACTACGTTATATGCCAGTGCCTGCTCCCATACTACGTTGTATGCCAGTGCCTGCTCCCATACTACGTTATATGCCAGTGCCTGCTCCCATACTATGTTATATGCCAGTGCCTGCTCCCATGCTACGTTGTATGCCAGTGCCTCCTCCCATACTACGTTATATGCCAGTGCCTGCTCCCATACTACGTTGTATGCCAGTGCCTGCTCCCATACTATGTTATATGCCAGTGCCTGCTCCCATGCTATATGCCAGTGCCTGCTCCCATACTACGTTGTATGCCAGTG